GCAGACAGTTTGCATCCGCATCCGCATCCTCGTAACAAGTCACGAACGCGGACGCGGACGCTTGCCATGGCGTTAGAAGTCTGGATGAAGGCGCCGGGAGCACAGATTGAACGAAGTAGAATAACATTCGTGGAGCAAAAATTCTAAACATCTGGTACTCTCATACATGTGCACAAAGTCATCTACTAGACTCATCACAACATTCCTATCAACGCCCAGGCTCCCTGTCCCAGCACCGAGCCTTATTGCCCTTTCTCTCTGGCGTCATCATTCCACTTCCTGATCCTGGTTGAGATCATGGTTTCGAAGTCGTCCCTCAACGCTTTGGGCGCGAGGGGGACAAGCATGCGAGCTCTCTTTTCCCCAAAACGGAAGTGCTCAACTTTGATGGCCTGAAGGATATATACGGCCACGGTGCTTAATTCTACGCGCAATAGAGCCGCGATCACATTAGATTCCATTGAATTTTTCTCCCAGAGATAGTAAGCGCGCAAGTGTGCCTTGTTTGGTTTCATCTTGATGGCGGTGGGACGCGCTTCTATGTATTCAGTGACTGAAGCGTTGGCTTCGACAATCTCAGGGGCGAGCTCCTCTTTCGATGGGATGGCAAAAAGAGATTTTGACGATGGCGGAGGGCGCGAGTCTAGAGAAGGGATGGAGGAGGAGGATGATACTGAGGATGCTGGCAGCTGCGGGTATAACGATGCAGACTCTTCGATTGCTAACTTTTGGAAGTCGTCCTCTAGGAAGAAGAATGTATTTGAAGCAGCGTCTGTACTTCCTTCTTCAATCGACTCCGATGCTTCATCAAACGACTCTACTCTTTGACCATTTGCTAAGCGGATTGGTAGATTCAATTCTGCGTGCGCAGGTCGAGGAGGCGTAGGTTCCAACGCTCTTCTCTTCGCTTCCAGAATGTAATAGAGTTGGAGAGCAGCGTACGAATCAGAAGCAGCATCTAAGAAAGGGTCCAGTCAGATGATCCAAATTAATGAGAAGGAGCTTGCTGACTTACATTGTGTCTGTTGGTAAGTTAAGTCCTGGCTGTTGCTCCAATCGCTCGTTCGTACATCACCCTTATCCAAGGGAAGCTGAAGATGCTCTTGGACTTGCTGTTTCAGTGAAACCAGCGTCTTGCTTATTTTCTTGACATTTCCAGAGGAGAATTTGACCAACTTGTACAAGTGGCTGAGTTCGAAGAGTCCGTGGGAATCAATACGCAGGAACTTCCGGAGTCTCGTGCAGTCTGCTTTGATGGCGACGCCCTACAACATCTCCAGTCAGAAACATCCTTGCCAAATATCAGAACTGAGTCATGAAAATTTTGAGGGAATCATTCTACTTCCGCAACGTGTCTCGCAACTCAAAATATAATAAGGGATAGGGAATTGAAGCTAGAGAAGCTGCTTACGACTTTGCTTATTGAAGATGACTCCCTATCGAACATTTCGGAGTCAGCATTTCTACATCAGAGTGCAATCTAAATCACAAAACAGATTTTGAGAGTGGCATCGAAGGCGGTATAAAGGTACCACTTTCGGAACATGTCTTGCGACTCGGGAAGGGACATAATTTAGACAAAACAGCACGGAGATAAGCCATACATGATTTCCTTCAGAGAGGGTGCAACAAAATCCTCGATTTGTTGCGCCTTCTCCGAGGTAGCGGCATTGGGATAACGAGCAATATGAGCGAGCAACACCCGTTCTTCACTCGCTATCTGGATCAGCGCGACGTTCTTCGTTATTCCGTCAGTCGCGGACGAATTTGGTGTCCATTCAATGTCAAAACCTATGACCTTTTCGTCGAGAAACAGCTGAGCTATTTTCTCGGTATTTTCCTTGTTCTTACAGTAATGCACCTTCACTTTGTCTTTGTCTCCACCCGGTCCTTGGTACAATGTATAATGCCAGTAGGATGCGGTACTGGTAGGCTCAGCAAGCAGGGCATTTCGCAGCTTAACTTCGGGAATATGAAAGCCGAGCGGACTGCGGAATGTCTCATCATTCGATGGAGGACAGCGTTCAAAATGAGCAGATTCAGGAGAATGGCCATCATCATTCGAACCAGGACTCTTTGTTGCACATCCGAGTTGGGTCTGAAGCATATGCATTGTGCTTTTGGTCGAGACAATATTTTCACAGCCATCGCGATGTTCATCTCGTGATTCAATGCGTTGTTGCGTTGGCGGCTCAGTCCAGATTTGCGAACTTGTTCCCTGGGACAGTGGGCCGTGGATGAGATGGGACGCACTCTGAGAAGGTGTACTTTCATGGCTGGACGCAAATGTGATGCCGTGAAAGCTGTCCCAAGTACGGTCAGAGCCAGGTCGTGACACTGCACTAACGGTATAATCAGTTGCCTGCTTCCTTATAGAGCGGAAAGGCATACGCGGATGGCATTACTTTCAAGACAGCTGGTGTATCCCGACGAGAGCTCCTATCTGGCGCAGCGTCTGTACTCATCATGAGAAGAGGCCTTGCAGCGCGGCGGCTCACGTTCGAGGCAAGTCTCTGCTGACGGAGCATGGTGGAGAGAAATAGGCGCCATTAGGACCAGCCCCATTGCTGTCCCTGACTCATAGGCGACAAGTTACGCCAGATGAAATCCGAAGACGCGTTTCGCTTTTCGCTGCTCTTAGATGGCGGTGGCGATACTGGATTGGATTGATTGGATTGGCGGAGATGTGCCTGAACCCGGATTCTTAGCGCCCGAGACCTGCACAAAAGATTCAGCCCTACGAACCAAATCAGTTACAAAAATTCGTGTCCGCAAGAAAGAAATTTATAGCAATGTTACCACTTGGACTGTATTTACCTGTTTCCGAGTGACCACAATGCCCAAGTCAGGGTCGGAAGTGTCTGATGACTTTGAGTTCATCGAGACTCCAGCTGCTCCAACCTCTGTGCCTCCCCCTGAGGACTATGGAGTTAGGACAACTATCGTGAGTACCAACTCATTCGGCAGCTCCAATTGACTCTGAAATGGATGACCGGGGGTATGTGGTCATATTATCAAGGCTGACACTGGCTCTGTAGTACCCTTCAATCAAGAATGGCCCCCTCCCTGCCGACTCTGCAAGCAGCGACAGCTTCAATAATATTCTACTCGGTACAATTCTCGCCGTGGTACCAGCCTACTTGGCGCGTCAGGTCAACGGAGGCCTTTTCACCTGGATTTTTTTCGCCTTGTTCACCAGTATTCCCATCCTAGCCACATTCTGGTATCTAGCTTCTACGATATCTCCGCGAAAAAATGAGAAAGCTCGATATCCAGGAAGACCGGTGGAGCATTACCTGCAGTTCCACAGCGAAAAGGATAGAGCGAGATACCATGGCAAAAGCAAGATACCAATGGAGACCTTTCACGAGAAGTACTTCGATGGCGCCGTCGACTTCAAAGGCGATGCCTTGGAGGTGATGGAATACCGCCATGACTGGGCAAATTTCAGATTCACACTCAGCCTGTTCCGCTTCTTCCTCACTGGTATGATGCCAGAGGTTATCATGCACACTCGCTCTCAAGGTGAGCTACTTTTCAATGCAGGCTGGCCATGTGGTCTCTAACGGCCCCAGACGAGGAACAGGTGCGAGACCATTACGACCGCGGTGACGACTTCTACGGTTGGTTCCTAGGTCCCCGCATGATCTACACTTCTGGCATCATTTCCGACATCAACAAGGAAGAAAGCCTCGAGCAGCTGCAAGACAACAAACTCGGAGTTGTGTGCGAGAAGATTGGCCTCAAACGCGGTGAATCTTTACTTGACATTGGTTGCGGTTGGGGGACGCTTGCCAAATACGCCAGCACGAGTTATGGAGCACATGTGACAGGAGTCACCCTCGGAAGGAATCAGACAGCGTGGGGTAACAATGCATTGCGAAAAGCGGGCATTGAAGAAAGCCAAAGCCAAATCCTATGTATGGATTATCGTGATATCCCTTTGCCGCCCGGAGGATATAACAAGATTACGTGTTTGGAGATGGCAGAGCACGTTGGTGTTAAATATTTCTCTACCTTCTTGAAGCAGGTCTACGACATGCTGGATGACGATGGGGTCTTCTTTCTGCAGATCGCTGGCATCCGGAAATGCTGGCAATACGAAGATCTGATCTGGGGGCTCTTCATGAACAAATACATCTTCCCCGGAGCGGATGCATCAACACCTTTGGGATGGTTCGTGGATAAGTTGGAAGGCGCTGGATTTGAAGTGAAGGGCATCGACACCATCGGAGTCCACTACTCCGCAACACTTTGGAGATGGTACAGGAACTGGATGGCAAACAGGGAGAAAGTCGAAGCGAAGTATGGGAATAGGTGGTTCAGGGTACGTCTCTTGTCTTCCAACAGCCGCACTTGTGTACTGATGTATCATTCCAGATCTGGGAGTTTTTTCTTGCCTACTCAACCATCGTCTCCCGCCAGGGCTCTGCGACTTGTTATCAGATTACGTTGGTCAAAAATATCAACTCCACACACCGGATAGAAGGGGTCCCTACTCAATTCGGCCTGACAGGAGCACTGGCAACGTCCAATGTCGATGCTGCAGCGAATCGCTTCAAGAATGTTGCTGGTGGCTTAGGAGATCAGGTCCGACAAGCGTTGCGATCTGAGTAGCCAACTTCTGTTTACTTGGACATCGACATATTTGGATGACCAGTTCCGAGAGCATAGTACAGCGAAGTACGCGAGAATCTGTGTCGTGGACACCAACAATAGAGTCGCTCAAAAGTCTCTTTTACCAGAGTCAGATCTAGATTTGCTTCAAGTTAGATACTGATAAAGATGTCGCCCCTTCAACATGGCCTGTAGAACTACGTGAAGCTTTTGGATGTACCATTGGCATTCATTCATGACTATCATACCCTTGCTCTACAGCCGTAAATGGCTTTCAACGCGATACAGAGAGAGTTACGTAACATGATCCGTACGTAACCAACAACATGCCCCATCCACCATACTCCCATCAGACCGCCATCCCCACCCATTCCGTTGGGCACTCAAGGCACAGGGACCGACACGAACCTCGCCAGACTGGGAACCCCCGCACCCATCGCGAACAGATAGTAATAGCCGGGGATCAAAACGCCCGGATCGAGGGGCAACGTCATGGTGTAAGTGGTGCCGTTGGCGGTGGCGTTCAACGGGATACGCCGCTGGTCCGTGTTCACGGTATGCGTTGTCGCGCCGAGTCTAAGCATGGCCCAAGCGGTGACTGGCGAGTCTGTGGTCGCTATCAGAGTTCCGCCGACGCTGACTTGAGAGGGAGCTGATTCTACGACCGGTCTGATGGCCCGGCTGCCGTTGGGGTTGAACAGGTAGCTGGGGCTGTAGATCTGGCCGTCGTAGTGATTTGTCGCACAGGCTCCGCACAGGCCACCCCCGGCGGATAGGATAGTGGCGTCCGGTAGGAGGATCCCGATTGAGTGGTAGTTACGCGGTATGGCCTGGGGTGCGAGTTTTGTGAAATTGGTAGACACAGGGTCCCACATTTCCGGTTGAAGCTGGCTGCCGTTGTCAGAAAAGGGAATACCATATTCTTGGCCACCCGAGATGAAAATTGCTCCTGTGGGAAGTACAACCGCGTTGGCGAAGATTCTTGGGTAAGACATTGGGCTGATTGTCTGGACGGTGGCTGCACTCATCGCGGTACCGATCGTGATGATACTGGCATTTGCCGTCGCATTGGCGCCTTGCTGTGGACGTGTGAGCAATGGTTCGCCGTGTATTCAAGGCAGTGAGACAGGTATACGTAATCAATTGCCCCACCGACTACCAGAATTTTTCCTGCCGTAGCATCATACATGACCGCGTTTCCGCACATGGCGTCGCCATCAGCGCGATCCCCCGCCGCTACCTGGCTGCCCGTTCCATTGGTGCCATACCAATTCATAGCTTTGCTCGGTCCTGCCTGGAAGATCGATGCACCCTTCCAAGCAAAGAGCATTCCCTACAACATCTATAGTCAGCATTGCTTCTCCAAGGCAACAGGCCTGAGGCATGAGCCGGGCTTCAATAACGAAAGCAGTGGTTTGCTTCTGAGTATCGTCTTTCAACCCAAGCTACGGTAACGGCTAGAAAGGGGCGATATTAAAACGTTCGTACATGGTTATCAGCACGGTATACGAGCTGCGCATCGTTGGTCTGACGGGGTTCTCCAGTCAGCAATGACTTCTTCTTGACGAGAATTGGAGTATTGAAACATGTGCTTGGAAGTATGAGACTCCCGGATCATGTCTGGCCGCTCTCGAGGACGTCCAACTGAGGAGGTTCAAGGCAGCGGAAGTCCTACCAACATAGGAGCAACTGGTGCACCAGGAACTAGGGTCCAATTATTCGTTGATGGGTTGTAGATTTCCCCTGTATAATGTGTGAGCACAAGAAGCACGGAACATTGACAACCGCATTATTCAAGGCTTCATACCATTCTTGCCGCCCTCGTTCCCACTCCAGGACCCACCGATCGTAAAAAGATTGCCGTTGGAGAGTGTGACCATCTATATGATTTGCGAGTCAGTGTGTCTCTTCTGAGATCAATATGAGTGGTGGAACAGGTCTCTGGAGTGCTTTACTCCTGCGACAAGTCTTGCAATTCAGAATGCAGTACGAACCATGAAGAAATGGCTCGGAAAACATGACTCACAGATTGATAGCCGCGAGGGATCTTCATATGTCCTTCTGCTGTCCATGAACTCATTTCTGGATCATATATACTCGTTTTGGCAGCATCATTACCACCTGCCATCGTTAATGTCAAGTATGTATATGCCCAGATGTTGCACTGACCTGTTGCAACGACTCGACCCTTGGCGTCTAGAGAGAGGCCTTCACAAAACATGTCGTGCTATCGGACAATTCGGAGTCAGTATGTCCCCATAACAATGCAAAACGGGGGACAAGACAGGTTCTGGAAGTAGCATTGAAGGCGAAGAAAAGGTACCACTTCGGAAATATGTCTTGCCGCTCAGGACAGGATGCGCTTTGGGACAGAACAACACGGAGATAAGCCATACGTCTGTATTGGAAATGTTCCGCTGGGAAACTAGTCCTGTGGTCATATTGTACGTGGCAGTGAGCGTATTCTTGCCGGCGCTTCCAGCGAAGGTACTGGCAGCCCACGATGACCACACAAGGATGTTTCCAGAACTATAGTCAATTGCTGCGGAGACGGGGACAAGGGGAAAGTCTATCTGGGATAGGATATATTAGTCAACATCGCGAGCCTTCGAACAGGGATATTAGGCCAGCTCACGGTAGGACTCCACTCTCCCTCGCCTGAGGCTGGGGAAGGCGTGCTGGTCTCGAAGATATTGAAGGATGCACAACTAGTCCAAGGCCCTCGGCTTCCCGCCTCTGTTAGGGCAATGATTCTGACATATCGGGCATAAGAGGCTTCGAATATTGTCGTTTTGGTGCTATTGCTGTCCTGATATGTGCCCAACGCAACTGGAGTCCAAGTGCCATTGTCTACACTCAGAACTATCTGGTGCTCCCCGATATTGCCGTTGCTTGGACCATCCTGGCGTGGTATATACGCAATGCTGTTAATTAGATAAGTCTGGCCCATGTCGATGGTCAGCGCGTGTGGTAGGGAAGCCTGGATGCATCTAGTGTCAGCATACATTTGGCAGACGCACCCTGAGATGTTGATTTTAGAGGTTCATTACTCCACTCATAGCTGAAGACGGTAGCCCAACGGTATAAGTCGTATGCCAAAATGTGTTCAGATTGCCGTCCAGGACGTTGGAAGGAGGGAAACCAGGCTGATAAATATCGGCTGTAGCGACCCAATTGGTCTGTGGGATAGACGTGGAAATGAGGGACTCTGCGGACCGACCCTCTGCTATCGCATCAAGGTTCAACCCATCGAGCGTGGCTACACCTTCGGTCACCAGGCCCCCATTGTCAGTACTTGCCGCCTGCACTGAAGCTGCTGGTTTGTTGAGGGCGATTGCAGAAGGCGCTATGGCATGGATGTGTCTTGGCGCAAGAGAGACTATTGCCATGAGGTGTAGCAGCATCTCCACTTGCGTCTTTGAGATGGGGGAAAACATTGCAAAACAAGGGTTTGTGATGCCTTGACTATTCGGGAGGTCAATGAACTGGGGATCTAATACACAGATCTAAGATATGCAAACAAGTTGGACACATGAGGCTTAAGGAAAGGGAAACGATAGGAAAGACAAGAACGATGTTGTCTTGGCTGTAGAAGTGAAGCCAGGGATCCTGAATGAGTGACGTAGCAACAAGCAAGATAGAGCCGAAGACTCGAGAATGAATGCACGAAGTTACAGAAAGGGTCGCTGCCTTGCCCCCACGGGCAGCCGGAGAGATGGGTTCCCTGCCCAGGGGAGGGATAGGATAGCGCCATCAATTCGGGCCTGCAGGCACACCGAGAGTAGCCTTTTGATATTCAAGGTGCTTATGCCTGGCATACACTGCGGAGAACGGAGACGGAGATGGGATCCACCCAGGAAGAAATCAAAATTGTAAGCAGAGTGAGCACTTGGGTCATGCGCCAATGAACGTTGCTTTATCCTGGCTACCTTAGGGTCTGGTACCTTAGGCCAAGCAACGACTCGAAAGGAAGCTTGAGCCGAAGGTTGAAGTGACATTCGCATTTCGCCGCTAGTCTTTTCCTTTGCCGTGCTGCCGCGCAAGGGCCGCGCGCCGCCCGAGTTGCGCTGCCTTAAAGTAGATGTAGATCATCGGTGGCCGTTTTAAACCCGGATTGACTACTTTATCTTTTTTCTTCATCGCGGCGTGCTACTTTTTAGACTCTCAAGCGCTCTTTTCGTCTATCATTCCGTGTCCATGATCTCACTATCTCATCTATGCCTTGTGGCCACACCCCATGATAGAGGGAGCGCTAAGCTGAGTTGCGACCCAATAAACAATTTCGCATGACTTTCATAATGCGACAGAAAAGCACTCATAGATCTTTCGTGAAATATGCCGCTTTCGCCTCAAACACGTCCATTATCCTCGTGCTTCGCTCCTCTTTGAAAACGAACTAGTCTCAGTACCCTCAGATAAGGTTCGTTCATTTTTTATGCTCTGACTTCTTGCTATCATAGGACCGAAGCTTCTTGCAGTACTCAGGGTTCGGCACCGCTCTCTCCTATGCGACAAATCCTCGATCACTAACCATGCTATCGAAAGCATTCAGGTCATTCAGCTCATGTTCTTCTGTTCTCCACCTCGGCCTGATTACGATAAGGTAGTGTGGCTCCGTCATCGCGGCGCTGAAATCAGCCAAAAGCCCGCCACTTGTAGTTCCGTGCCTGAACATCCATCGGTAGATGCCCAATTTTCGCATCATTTTCAGACCCCTCAAAATCTTCTTGACCAATCGCGAGGTAAATAGTACATCTTCGCTGATCAAGTCTTTCACGATGACTCGAAATGACTGTCTTATCTACGCTGGCTTGATATACTCGCTGTCAGGCCGATCCCATGCTTCAACATTGAAATTCTTTATTATCTCCTCTTCCCTTTCCGCCGGGATTGTCAGGAAGCCATAGCAACGCACCGCTAATTTTCCGTACACTTTGGTGTCAACGAGTCGCCCATAAGCGAGCAATTCGTTTTAGAAGGGATTCCTATGGCCGCGGAGAATATCAACGGATATGAGGTCGTGCTCCTTGCCCAATAAAGCTGCGCGGCCACTTTTATCGTCATAGAACTTGAACTATGTAAAGAAGACCACACCGCAGAGAGGCGAGGAGTCAAGGCGAGCTGCGCACCTTCAGCGCGTATGGCTTAGAGCCATCCAAGCTTCAAACACGTGCGCGTGCCCTTCTCCGGAGGTATTCTCGGGGTCAGTATCGCTTATAAGACAAAGAATGTTGATAGCGGCTGAACGGTCTCGGAATGGAGAGAGTTTTCGGCCTTTACATCTTGGAAGAGGCCCGTCGTAAAGAGGCGATTGATGCAATTGAGGCATTTCCTTGACGCTTAAAGCTCCGTTAGAGGGAATGAGCTGCTGGCTCTGCCAACGGAGCGGCGTTTGATGATCTATAAAGCAATGATAAAATTATAAAAAGTCTGGGGAGATTGGTGAGTTCATGCAAAAGTTGTCTACCTGTGCGAGGAGGTTCCGAATGGAGGAGAACAGTCGCTACGACCAGGGTGGCCTTGAGTCCCTGCGATTCTGATGAGCGGGACCCATCAGAATGTCGAATAACTGTCCTTTGAGGCCCGAACTGTTGCCACCACTAGGATACACAGCATTTCCGTATGGCGCTCTACATTCTATCTCAAATTAAGGTTTAATCTCCGACCTGACGAAACCCGTTTCAAATCTCGTTGTCATGCGGCGGGGCTAGAAGGATGCACCATCCAGCTAGCAAGTTTTGGTGAGAACAACGACTGCTTGTTAAATCTTCTAGAAAACTTTGGCTCTAGCAGCGTCTCGGCTGTAGACGGTCAAGGTCACATGCAGACTACTCTCACAGCCTTGTGCGCATCATAACTAATATTAAAGAAAGGAAGAGCTGAAGAGTGACCGGGAGATTCGAATGGGCTAGTAGGGCGTACGGCTGACATACATAAGCGAGATGCGTGTGGCAGGTAGCCTTGCAGCAGGGTGAGTTCAGCAGACCAATAGGAAATCACAATCAACGGACAGTCTTGCGTGGCTACGAGTTTCACTTTCGAAGGGGATGATTGAGGTGCATCACTAGCGCTGATGGTGCAGAGTCTCGTCGCAGGTTGATCGGTACCTACCTTAGCACAGCCATCAGCTGGGCGGCGATCCCGGAGCTATGTCGTGCGGCCGAGAAGTCTGCCTTCAATTGAATCGTTCCCTGAATGTACCATAACCGGCATCCGTTGGTGGGTACTTTCGTGCCAAGTTGATAGACGTTCCATCAAAAGTAGTAGAATGGCAGGACACCGCCAAGAAAAACGTAGCTCTGCACCAAGACTTACAAGTACGAAGGGTGAAGTTCCGAGGACCCGTTCCATGATTGTACTCTTCTCTCGTTTACGACCGATCCACCGTACCAAAACCCTACAACGGAGCCAGATATCACGACACCCGATCCTTTTGCGAAACGATGGAAGTTCATTCTGGTGCTAGGGATGCTTGTCCAACTCTTCCTAGTTGCTCGTCCTTCGATAGCCAAGAGCCGAAAGCTTGGCGAGAAAGCACGCGCCTACAGGCCGAGAAAGCCTTCGCAACATGACTGTAGATGACGCACAGGCTATACCAAAAACCACTACCGGATTGGGAATCCCGAAACTCTACGAATTTTCAATGGTCATGGCTCTCTTCAGCGCAGGCAGCGCGCAGAAGTGCCTTTGCGACTCGCCGTTGACTGATCTGGACGTCCAGACACAGGATGCCCGGTATATCTTCTCCCCTAGCAGCGACGGGGCAACTCAAGGATCTCGAAACTGCATCGAAGCGGGCTGCTGATGCTGGGGTGCTCCTTCTCGAATTTGGACTGAATAGACCAACATGGGAAAGAGCTATCGAAGCTATAGCGCGAATGGATTTCTTGAAAAAATGGAGCCATAAATACGAGGATGCACATATGGTTCCTGCTGACAATGTTAAACAGCTTGCAGATTCGCAATTAGATACCTTGTTGCCCAAGTGGCCTGCCAAATATCGCGATCCTTGCAGAATGATGGTTGTTTCGCTCCTGGTAGGCCGATTGCGACGCTTGATGATGGGAGTTCAGAGGATTGTCTGTGCTCTCCTTGGTTCATCGAATTCCAGGTACCCCAACTCACCCGCTATGTATCACAACGTAATCAATGGCATGCTCGATGGTCGAAGGTTACTGGTTCGCTATTTCGCCTTACCTCGACCTGATTTCCCGCGAGAACATTGGATAGAAGCCGGACCTGACAGTCACAATGAACGGTATGATTGGTTCAGTTACTTAGCGTATCCTTGGTATGCGACGTTGGGGGCCGGGAGCTTGGATTCCTAGGCTTCTTGGATCCAGAGTACCAGGCGACGACGGCGACAAGTATTATCGCCAAGGCTACACCTTCGCTGAGATCGGACCCCAAGCTCTCAGCACTATAAGGGCATGAGAGAAATGGATCAGCCTCGGGGTCAATTGGTTCAATGAAATCGAGGAGGATGCCCTTTTCCGCCCCAATAGGTGAGAGACTATGGTTTGTGAAATATACCAGCATCTGATGTCTTCGACTCGCATATGTTGCTTGGATAAGCTTTCTAAGGGCCAATCGGATCATCCCAGCCTTCCCTTCTCGAACCCCCTCCATAGCCTTATCTCCCCAGATGGTTCCGTTGTGCGCTTTCCGATCTTGACCAAACCAACAAGAACAGAGGGGTAGACCGGGAGTAAACATATGCGGCACGCTTTACCGCGAGAGGTACTCCACTTACACACGGACTACGGCGCGCTTGGCTTGGCCCGCTCTTTGTGCATTGTTGTCCCATCTCTCAGCAGCAGCGCTATTATTGCGACTTGAAAGAAAGCCTCCCAATTCGCATTGATGTCGAAACTCCCAGTGCGCTTTCGTGTCGAGAATTGAGCTCGAGTTCCGCAGAAGTGTGGCAGGAATGGGCGACCTTCTCATTTTCACGGAAGCGTGCATAAATGGACGCAGCTAAATTATACAACGATGAGAGCACTTAATCGATGAGAACCTGCCGAGTAAGCCTCTGTTAACTCATTAAGGTATCTAGTAGTATTTGTCAACGGACAACGCTTCTGCATGGCAATCGTTTTGGACTCCAAGGGGGTAGTTGACGGGCTATTCTTGCCATCTACCTGTTACGGCCGTCTGTACGCTCCGTACCTGCTCATCGCCTCGACAGACAATCCGGGCATGAAAACAAGAGCCCACGAGGATGGTCGGAAGATGGACTTGGACATGCTCAAGATGACGAGGGTCTGAGCGTATTGAGGTCCTGGCATGGCCGTTGATCTAGCTTCGAATGGATACTGCCCCGAAGATCACTTGATGCTTATTTTGCTGCTCAAGTTCGCGAGTCTAGTGCTCGGTAGAGATAGCGTTTTTGCGATTTTTCGACGCTCTTTCTTCGATAGCTCATTTCGTGCAAAGCGATCTTTTCCCTTCATTCCTAACAAGCCGCAAAAAGCTTGGATCATACCTTGCATGGATGCAAGCCAAGTGCTTACACCATTAGTAGACGATCTCATGACAAATCCATCGGACCTCACCGAGTTCGCATCGCAAGGAAAGAAGCCGCTCCGAATTAGCTCATCCCGAGACTGCAATGCCACCCGTGCATCCCCCGGCTAGTCGGAGTAGCTCGGTGAAAGCGGTTTCAAATTCGTCAGTGTTCTCCATGATGTATACTCCGCCTAGGCGTCGAATTAGCTGATTTTCGCTAGGCGAAGCCTCTGTTGATCTGGGCAGGGTATCAAAAATTGAGCGGATATCCTTGCACTTGCTCAAACGTTGTGTGCTGAGATCATCGCAGCCAGAGAGTTCTTTGCTGATCGACTGTGGCTTTCTCTGGACCGCGGCTTTGGAACTTCTTCGGGGTCGATCGATGTTGAGATTGTCGGATGGAGGGCTTATTTTTGGCCGCTTGTGGCTTGGCGGAAGGATTTTGGCCCAGAAACCAGCTGCTCGTCGACAGCAATGCGGGGCTCGGAAATCCTTTACCCAGATAGTTCACGAAAGATGCTTCTTGCGCGCGTTCTCCGTCATGTTCGCCATAGGACCGGGTGGAAAAGATCCCTGCCCCTTGGGTCGTGCCTGAAATCCAGAAAACGTATGATCTGTAGCTTTCGACCTGCCAGAGCTTCTCGCGCTGGATCCAAACCTGCTTCTCGGCTGCGACTTCTTGGGGAAACAAGATTTGATCTGATGAGACTGTACGGTATGAAGGATCTGCTCAAAGTCTGAGATTTTTTGAGATTGGAGATAATCGCAACGGAAACACTCAAGCAGCACATTAACCAATATTGGTATACCATCTTTCGACGCAACTCTCCAATTTACCACGCAAGCCTGCTCAGCTTAAGAAACAAGAGAAGGAAGTTTATCCTCCCCAGAAAGCTACGAGAGCGGCTTTCGGGGAAAAGAAATTCACAAACAAGAAGACGCAATCCATACCTGCTTCTTGGGTTAGTAATCGACACCTATGCTCCATTTTATGGCTTCAAACCACTGAAGGGGCATACCAATAGGGACACCGCACAGAGCCGCTGCTCCAGCGATCCTTGTTCAATATCGCACCAAGAGCCTCTCGTTCCTCTCATTCAGTATCTGTCACGTCTGAGCAGCATGGCTTTCACATGCAGCTCGAGGTCAAAACAGGGCAAGAGGCGGGCTTGGTGCCTGCATCATTTATTACCACGGCATTCGATGCACCAAAGAAGGCGCATACAGTCAGCTCGAGTCAATCGCTCATCTGCTTCCACTGTGACGCAGTTTCTGTCATTTGCGTGACCACTACATGAGAGTCGCTGCGGGCATAGACCTCTCCAAATCTGGCCCTCACACTTCCATTTCCCCCATGTTAACAGCCTCGCACTTATCCTACTCAGCCTCTTAGTGGTAAGACTAGACCAAACTTGAATTAGCATGACGCGAATCAGATTGCTTCTTAAGGAATTGAACGCTCAGAAGATACCTACCGTGTTGGCTCAAAGCCCTTTGCCTGCATAATGGACATTCTTGCTTCTCACCCAGCCAGTCTAAAATACACGTGAAGCAAAACGTATGTCCGCAAGTTGTAGATGATGGATCTTTCATCGGCTCGAGGCACAGTGTGCATTTTCTTTGCTGCTTCGGTTGTAACCAGGCGAGGCATGACGGATCTGAGAGATCGTAGCGCGGGAGGGAGGACGTGGGGAGGGGCGTATGGGTTGTAACTGAGATACGATTGCGGCTGGTATCTGCTTTCTCCATGGATTTTGAGGGCTCCAGTAGGTCGCCAGCTTCTTGGGTTCCTTGGTGGCTTTGGAGACCTATCTCCACCCCATCATCGAGGAAAGCACTGGATCCCTCTGTTGGTAGAGCGGTTGTGATAGTATTCTGGACGTGCAGATAAGCCTGCACAACTATTTGAAGCACTAATAGCACACCGAGAACTTCATAGCCTACGCGCTGTTCGGAGGGGGCCAGGCGCTTCGAGAAGATGTAGCGTAGCCCGAAGAGCCGCTTGCTGAGGTGATAGTAGGAGCCTGTGAAGTAGAAGACCGCGAGAAAAATAGCGCATATGGGGGAAGTCGAGACTGAGGTTATGGTGGACAGGTTCTCTAGGAGATAGAACTGGAGACGATGGTATAGAGAGGCTCTAGGAGACTTTGGTGCCCGACTGAGATTGCTTTCGATCTTGAGGCGAATGCGAGAGCGAAGACTGGGGAGAAGCTTGCTGAGGGTATAGGGTAGGAGAACGGCCGAGAGTACGTAGCCTGTGCGGCGACCTATGGCGGGAAGCTGCCTGGACTGATTTTCGATCTGATAGATATCACAGTACTCCTCGCCCAGGCTGCGATTGCCAAGCACGGTAGTGAGCCCAAGATAAAGCAGCTCAGTGAATGTGCGGGCTTCGGAGCCGTATCTGTGAGAGAACCGCGACCCGTATAGACGGCGAAGGATAGTAGAGAGCTGCTCAAAGAGGACGCCTTGGAAGTAAATATCTTTCTGATTGGAACGTATTATGTCTGGAGCGGCAGCGAAAGGGAAGGCATAGTCCGAGGTCAATGATCTGGGAACGTCGTGTACGTGATCGTTGGGGAGATTGGAAGTTGCCATGACTTGTCTCTTCCATACTCGATGTCACTGGCATATAAGCTTCCTTGAAGCGTCTCCACATTTGACTGCCTCGGCACAAGATCCATTGCCTCTTTAAGGTCGCAAGCCACTTGGCTTCAAGCGGCACCCGAGTATGCGCAAACTGTACAATACAAAGCTCGCGTGAGCAAGAAAACTCGCTCTAATCACATTCATTTCTTCTTTTGGTTTACACCTTTGAGAATGTTCGGTTGATTATGTCTACAGCATGGATGGGGATCCAGCTGTCGAGCCTGAGCTCGACGCCTTTAGTCTACTACTGCCTTTGCCGTACAGAATCGCAGTCATCCTTGTTCTTGGTATGCGTTATCCTCTCCCAATTAGCCAATGCAGTGTGGCTAATACACTCTTAGGCGTGTGGGCTTGGGGGGTCAATTTACACTACCTGTCTATCCTGAAGATCGTGAGCATGGCAAGCACCATACCAGCAATATCATTTGGCTGATGGGATTGTCCAAGGATTTGCCAATACTTATCAAGTATCACACTCGAACCTCTTCCAGCATCCCTCCCCACCACCGCCGAACATACCAGCTTGCGGCCACAGTAACTGTGCCCCTCATCATTTCTATCCTGCTCTTCTGGATTATCACACATGGACAACCGGCTCTGGTCCTCGCGTGGGATATCCTCCCTCAATCGTTCCTCTTCCTACTCGCCGTCTTCTTTCTCCTGCCTTTCCAACGCCTGTCACGCACAGGCCGATACCGATTCCTTTCGACTTTGAAACGTGTCAGCATTGGGGGGATTGCAGAAGCAGACAATGGAAAGTTCGGAGACATACTTTTGGCCGATGTCTTAACATCGTACGCAAAAGTTCTCGGTGACTTATTCGTGTCTTGGTGCATGCTTCTGTCTCCGGGGCTTTCGTCTACGGGCAAGCCTGATCGAAATTGTGGTGGCGCCTACATGGTGCCACTCATCATCAGCGTTCCCAGCATGATACGGCTCAGGCAGTGTTTGATTGAATTCTTGAGGGTCAGAAACAACCCTAATAAGAATGCAACCACAGGTTGGGGCGGGTATGCGGATGCCCTTTCGTGGAGTCAATACGAAGAGAGAGCTGATTAAATCATGCAGACAACACCTCGCAAATGCTCTGAAGTATTCCAGCGCTTTCCCAGTCATCGTTCTGAGCGCGCTGCAGCGAGGGACGAATCCGAACGATTTTGGCATGACCGAAGCGAGTTTATTTCGTTTGTGGTAGGACATAGCTTCTAGACCTGTACAAGGCCACGATTGACATAGGCCCAGGTTGTTCTTTGTCTTCCTCAACTCCTTCTACTCCTTCTATTGGGACGTTGCCAAAGTACCAATCCCTCATCCCTACATGCACTTGCTCGGGATGCGTTCTGACCAATCATTTCCTTCAGGATTGGGACCTCACTCTCTTTGCTCCCTCCTCCGTGCGCAATAACCCTGAGCACCCGTGGGGATTACGACGACACCAACATTTTCACAGTAAACAAATGTGAAACCCCTGTACCCATATCAAGATGTTACAATAGTGTAGACTAACAAAAAAACAGGTATTACGGCGCAATATTAATAGACCTCATGTTGCGGTGTACATGGAGTTTCAAGCTCAGTCCGCATTTAGATCACTTTAATGATTTAGAAGGATCGATCTTCATTATGGAGTTCTTAGAAGTCCTACGGCGTATGTGAATGACCCTTTCAACATGTGCCGTTTACTCATTCAGTATTAGGGTGGCTATGGATCTTCTTTCGAGTGGAAACGGTGAGTAGGCTCATGAGCCATTCGCAGTAGCAGATGATTCTAATGCTTTCACAGGAATGGGGTATATTGATTCATGAGCCATCTGAAGCAGCCAAGAATTGCTAATGCCACGGCAGTTCGTACCAATCGCGGTCCACCGGCAGAAGATATATTGCTAGGAGACATGATGGACAGCCCCATGAGCCCAACATTCCCGAAATAAGACGTGTACATTAGGTAGCATCATCCAAGACTGGCACCAAATCCGCCGCTAATGCAAAACATCTGCCCCGGTCCAAGAAATTCTGGACAAGCATCCTAGAGTTAGCATTGCTTTCTCGAAAACTTGATATCTTTGGCATGTCTACAGAGTGAACATTGCCAACAGATGACCCAAGTTTCCAAGACTCTATTCAGCAGATGAAATCTGGACTTGAAATTACGCACCTCCTCATCCGGCACCACAATCTTCTGGTATTCTTCGTCTTGGAAGCAAGCAGCTGTCATTGCGTACGAAGGGGCTTCAAATATAGCCATCTAGGACGGTTGGAGAATGCTCCTCGAAAGCGGCATGAATGAAGTGAACTCACGCCGTCGGCATCAGAGACAGGGAAGCCTACTTGCTTCAATTGTGCCGAAGCCTACGCAGGGTTTCCAGGTCAGCATTCCTTCTTCAAGGTCAAGCTTCAAGGTCAGGATTGTGCTGTTGGCCAACGAGGTCTTTGCTCCCGAAAAAGATCTTCGGGCTCACATCTTGGCATAGACGGGGAACGCATCTAGCCGAGGCGTACTTACTTCTTCATTGACATGAGCCTGCAGAGACAATATATACGATGTTAGCCCTTTGCAGCCACGGATCGAGCGTACCCGACGCAAGCTTCACGCACTTGTACATAACTGAGCAAATTCTTCTTGACAATGGCAATGCTGCTGAAAAGCTCTGCGTGCTGGTTCTTCCAGTACTGATGAAATTCATCGAGGCTCTCCCTGGCTTTCGGTACACGAGAAGCGTCATCCTCACTCTGTCCTTCCTCGCAACGAAGGACTTAGTCTTCGGTTTCTGTTCGTCTGCCATGGAGGGCAATGGCTTTTTCCAGTGCTGTTTTCGCTTTTGGGTTGTTTTACCAAATGCAGAAAGTGGGAATGACGGGGGTTGGATACAAATCTCCAGATCAGAGTTGGAAAAACTGTACCCCTCAATCTACGGCAACACATACGTACCATACTATCAGGGTCTGGCTCCCCTGGAATCTTCGTATTCGCTTCTTGTACAGATCCTACGCACGCCGGGTCGATAGCCTCCCCAACTTGCAGGAATCAGACCCCTTTTCTGCAAGAGCACCTGCGTGGTTGCGGTGGACAGGGTATGAAAACGCCACCGAGACGCGTAGGATCACCGACATAGCTATAGCTACTAAGTAGCCTTGAAACTCGAGTCAACAGATTCCCTTTTTCCTTAGGAACTGTACCCACGCTTCTTCAAGTTACTGTCTAGCTCCAATATCTGTAGTCGGGCTAACCTCTCCGATCTTGGCAAACGTATCTTAGCTTTGTGGACGCATGCTGTCACAGAAAACTGGGTAGGTTCACCCATAAGCTCGGGACTGACCTACCCGAGGAGTCCATCACTAGACCCTGTTGTGCCCTGCATCAGCCGAAAGTCTGTAAGGACCCTGCATTGGCGGGGGTAATGCACTGGCAAGCCCAGCGGATACCCGGATGGATGGTGTGGATGTGGTGCCAGCGATAACGGAGAATGATATATATGATAATACGAATGCGAAGTCGGCACCGCAAGTCCTGGACAGCGCTAGTATCAGCCCTAAGCTTAGTTCCGAAGGCAGCCCGGGAGTGGGAGAACAAGAGAGACCTTGGAAACCATCTCCTGGCAGCATATGAATTGAACTTTGGAGATCTCTTTTGGGCGTTGTACCGGGCGTTGGGCCCCAAACTGGGCTAGACCAGGTGCAATTCCGAAGCACTTCCAAGCGCATTGTCCAGGCAACCTTGCATCAGAGATCTCAGCGCACGAGTTTTGGCACCCAGGACTCTTGGTACAGACCTCCGTAGAAGACAAGACAATAGGCTCTCCTCTTATCTCCCCAAGTGGGATACATGCAATCTGCATGAGTCAGCTCGACATGGACCTAACGAAACATCCTGTTTTTTGTGTTCAGACTTTTGACTAGATGACCCTGCTTGCTATTGTTGTCGTCATGGCCGTCACAAGGAGATCTTATCGTCGGAAGGAGGGAATCTTGGGTCCCAGCACTTGCTATTACCCACTTCACCCTCGTGAACGTGCTGGCATGACGTGAAAATTGACTCTCAGCTTCAAGTTCAGCTCCAAATTCTTGCTGGTCCGCAAGCCAAACTCTAAAGCATGCAGGTGAACAAGTGTTTCAGCAGTCAAGGGTCGAAGACCCAAAGGGTTTCAGTGCTATTTACAGTAGCAAAGGACGCTGGTGCTATACTTTTCGCGCGTTCCGTGGCCTGCCCGAGTCCCAATGTCTTGCTGGGAGACATTGACAGCTCTGGAGAGTCCAACGTCTCTTAGGTAGGCTATTAGGGATATCAGAATTAGTATTGCTTTTTCGAGTAGACGAATTCGAGTATCAAGACTGATTTATAGGGCAAAAAGATGCCTGGCTCCTGAGGCTTGTCTTGCGACCCATACTGCAGGACCGAACAGGAAGAAAGTGCTTCAATAATACTTACGTCGTCAAAAATCGACACGATGTCCACTGGGAAAGCTAATGACTAAGTAACTGTGAGCGAGTTGCATAGAGGTCAGAGCTTAGCAGACTTTACCCTCGACTCATCCAGCAACCTCTCTTCCTCCGGAGCTATGATCTTCCGGAACTCTTCATCGTTCAAGCACTCAAAAATCTGACAGCACGATCGGTCACTGCTCTTTTCTCATTACGTTTGGTAGAGAGAACGAACCTTGTCATAGGACAAAGCTTCGTACATAGCAATCTGATCCGTACAATTAGGAGATTTCCTCAAGATACGGGGGCTAAGGAAAATTTACCCCATCGCACCCTTCAAGAGGAAAGCCTTTTGTCTCAAGTTCCTTTAGAGCCTCCCCATTGACATGACACTGCAGAGATTCGATGCTACATTAGCCCGTGATGAGTGACGTGGAACCGGCACGAACATTGGATGGCAGTGTGACGCACTTGTTCATAAGTGAGCAGATTCTTCTTGAAAATTGGTACGCCAGACATGATTGGAGCGAAATCGTCTCGCCTACGCAGATTGCGAAGTCAGCATTGCTCCTTCTTGACGAGCTATAGCCAGAAGGCAGGGCTGGGAAGCACAAAGACTATGTTGCTCAGCCACGTCTTGAGGCTCAGACCTCGGTACAAAGAAGGAAGAGACGACTCCGGAGTGCGTACCAGGAAGCGTGAAATTCCTCTATGCTGAGGCCTTTCTTGCGGTACAAGAGGACCACCAATCTCACCCTGTCTGGTCGGGCACCTGGAGCCTTCTTGAGTTTTTGTTCGTCCGCCATGGATGGCAATGAATGATCTTTTCGATGCTATTGTGCCGTAAGGGACGCTTTACAGAGTGCAAGCGGTGGGATGTTTCACGTGCGAAGTTGAGTATCCTCGGAGAGAGAGAGGGGATAGGAAGCCAAGAATTGCGGTTGGCTACCCCACATTGCACAGTTCGTCATTTCCCGGACACGTCAAACCTACAACGGTAGATCAGGACCCATACGACAATAACGCCGTAGGTACAAGGTAGTAGTAAATGCAACTTCATCACTGATGCTCATTTACTCCAATTTGCGAATGCAGAAGAGTTTCCAAATCTATAAGGAGCATCCGTCACATTTTCTTTCCCCAGCCAGCACTAAAGTGCCTGGCAGAGAGTCTTGATGCCGCCAACCACGTGACATCGCGTTTAGCTCGCCTCTTGGCAGTCGCGCGTTTGCAGGCCATCGGAAATTGACCGATGAAAACTTTAGAGAGTAACGTACTTTACCTTGCATTTGCAGTATGCATCAGCACCAAGTAATTTCGTGCCGAGTCTTCAATGCCTTCTGCATGAGGGATAGCAATGGAGGCTTCAAATAAAGCTGGCTCGAACATGCCCGCCATGATCAGGAACGTAAAAGCTGCTCAACGCGATGCCTTCCTTAAAGGACTTCATGAACTCTTGCGGTAAGCCTCTGTTACTGCTTTGATAGTTCATACGCCTTAATTCTTAGCTTTTCGATTCAGCCGCTATTGCTCATCTATTGCCTGTTTTCAGCCCATCACTGACTCTCAATCAAGACTACTCCGCCAGCATGCCCAAATGCGGGACAACCCTCACGATGGCCGCACTCCTAAGCCTCTCTTCTTCACTTGGGAATTCGTTCAGCGTACTTGCGGCAACCTTTCGCAGGTCCCAGTCGACAAGCTCGAAGCCAACGACAGAGACGCACTCGAGAAGTACAGTGATTGCGTGGGCCGTGCAATCATGGCCGAAATCGTGATCACGGAGAAGACGCCCATGGCTGCTATTATGAGAGGCGGCGAGCTGAATTTCGGATATGTGGCCAGGAAGGCAGCAAAAGCGGCAGCTGTTGCGGGTGGGGGTGAGGAGGGAAAGCGTCATGTTTGATGCGAAGACGTGATAGATTTGACGCCTCAGGATGGTCTCCAAACAAGCCTCATCTCAGCCGTCTCAAATGTCGGTACTCGAAGAAAGGGGGGTTGACTGTGGACAATATTTGTCAACGAGCAAGTTTGTGATGATTCATATCAAGACGTTGCGCTCAGATCAGATGAAGCTGACACTGTCTGAAATCGACCAGTAGTCGGATTGCAAAGTTGCCCACTGGGTGCCTGGAGCGTCCCAAGTTTCAGTGCCGCTGCCTCATTTACAACCCCTGATGCGGAGCCACAGCAAGACTTAGACACATAGGTGCAGTTACATGAACAAGCCGCAGGAATGACCATCTCTAGCAGTTCGATCGTGTTTGACGAATTTGATGATACCGCGGAAGTGAGTTCGGAGGTATTCATTTTCTGTCCATTGGAGACCTCCGCATATGGGAGCTCACACGTTCCGGCCCAAAGTTTGCTCTTCGATTCTCCAATGGAACTAACGACACAGACGTAACCATCTGCCCTGCAGTCGCCATTGGAAGAGCATTCCTGGCCATACTGGAAGTCCGTCACATTGGTTGGAGTAGGGGTCTTATCAGGGAAGATTGGAAAAAACTTTGAGAACGGTGCAGTTACACTGACGTTGCCCACAGCTCCATCGCTACTGGCGACGATTGTGTTGCCTGCAGCAGATTGTAGCGTTATGTCACGGTCGAAGCTCGACCCCCAGGAATACAGGTACATGACAAGTTTACGCCCACTACCTGAGCCAACTACGTCAGCCTTTCACGGTGCTGCTAATGATTCCGACTGAGCTTACGCACCTGATTTCTCTTGACCGCCAGAGCGTGGCCTTCCAGAGTGCAGAGGACTCAGGCAATCCTCCAATATTTGCCGTCCGTCGCTTGCTATATATGGCCAATGTGAGCTGTCATGAGTGAAGCCCCCTTTCGGATCCGCTTGAACGGCTAAAAGGATCTTGCATCCCTCTGAGTTTGACCCGAAGAACTTCAAATCAGTCTGAAATCTCGAACCTCGGACATCGGGGTCAGAGATACCTACCATTCTTGAACACGTGAGGGATGTAGACCTTGTACTTCCACTGTTCCTTTGTAAAATCGGAGGCTTCTGCAAAATCCTGCAGGAGGAATGCATGGTCCGCGCCGTCTATGACGTTGATGCCTCTCCGTCTCCCCTTCGTGCCACTGAATAGCAGAGAGTAACAGGCGTGGTAGTCAGGAAGGCCAAAGTATGAGAGACTGCAAATACTTTTCTCGACAGCGGATACGCATAGTGTTTTGAAGAGGAGGGATAGAAGCACAGCAAGGCTTGGGGTACTGTTAATGCCCATAGTTTTCGGTCTTTGACAGAGCGAAAGGCAGTACTGACTTTGTTACAGATTGCTTTGCTGAGAGGCTAGGATGGTGAGTATCAATGCGACATCGCGTGTCGCATTGAAACAAGCGTAACACAGGAGCTCGATCGGGGATCAACTCTGACAGATGATTGCGACATGCGACAAGTTGCTTGAATGGATGAGTGAGTAAGCATGCAGCCGTCTAAGGCGGCGCTCGTCTTAAGCTCACGAAAACACGGCTCTTTAGGAGAATTCAAAGCCTTTACACTGGTTTCATCACCCATATCAAGCAGGCCATACAAATATACGCCGGTACAGTTTGATGGTAGACTGCTCTTCTTTCTGGTACAAACGTTCGTGAAGGTGAACAACAATGGAGAGATCATGTATCTCCGTCGCAACAAGCGCTCTCAGGCGGCTTCCAGATACTCCATCCTCTAAGCTGCTACGTGGTCCACTTGCCGGACACGCCTCGTAGAGCATCTGAACACGATTTTTGAATTTTTGGAAAACTGGCCTGAGAAGCATGAATGCATTTTTTTATTCTGAATGCTCTCAAAGCGTAGTACTATTGAAATTTACATGATTGAGTGCAGCATTTGTTCCCTTCTTCTCTGATCGTACAAAACAAACAAAGAATTTGGGGATCAATCGCTAAGTATTTAACAAGACAGATTTAAGTCACTTCTAGATCTTCAGCGCTCACTAGGTAAGTGATTCCAAGTACATGTACCTCTGTGGAGTCTGAAACCACACGAGTTCCTGACAGAAGAACGCTTTCGGTCTGGAGGATTGGCCAACGAATGTCTTCATCTCATGAGTACCAGAAATGCGACCAAGTCAGATTTGCACGAGGCACATGCAGAAGCCTTCGCCGCTCAAGCACAGAAGGTGCCATGGCCACACTTGAGCAACCAGCCTTAGTCCCAACTACCTCGTTACACAAGACTGGAGTGTGTTCCGTCCAGGATCTGTCTCCTCGGACCAACGTTTCAACGGCTCTGACTTCGTCCGAGTCTTGCCGAACCAGGGATGGAAACCCTGCATTCTCACGCTCCTGCTAGAATTCCAACCCCCCGCCCCACGGCAGTTATGTTTTGTGTCAAAGGCTTACTTTCGTTGGGCTATGCATGCAAGAAATTCTACCTCAGCTCTACCATCGTCGTGAAGGACATACTTCCCAATCAACGTGCGGCCGGGTATAATGGCGTAGAGGGACGAGGGAAGCGGCTTGCCTTTCTCTGTATGCTTGGGAGGGATCAGCAAATCTCGAAATCGAAGCTCGTCTGCAGTAGCTGCATCAAAGTCTGAGCTACTTTCTCTTTTTCTATCGCTGCCGTCCGCGACGGACCCTCAGAGCGTCAATATCGTGGTCACGAAGAAAGATTGTGGATCTGCCCCAACAAGGTGTAGGACAACTCGCAGGTTCAGGCTTTACCGTGAAGACCCTGACCGATTCCAGCCGGCTGCTGCAGGTGCTCGCGCATTTTCCTGGCCTTATGGGCCTTGTGAATGCAAGATTCACTCTATCTGGCTGGGCTTGGAAGCAACGGTCACGTGTCGTCCACTTCTCGCTGTCAACGTCGGATCAAGCATCTCCAGATTCACTGTCGCTGATGCCTTGAAACCCCTCGATCTTGACGCTGGCCCACACATCAAGCTCAACGACCCCTAATGCTCCATCTTTTTCCAGAAGGATTCCCAGTTGTGTCAAGCTATCTGCAACTGTAAAGGATGCAGGTCGCCAATCCAGGCAAGTGAGTGCATTGTTTGCAAAGCCAGGTTCAACCACAAGCTTGCTCGGCCGTTGAATGAATGGAAAGAAAGTTCTCAAAGTAGTAGTCCGGCGATATCTGGATGATTCCCCGGACATTAGCGGCCCCAATTGGCCCTCTCAATTATCATTACCACGCGAGTTTGCGGACTCGGAACGTGCGCGGCGCAATTGTCCTACGGATCCTTCGATCCAAGAGACGCGGTTCAGTGTCCGACCGAGACCTTGGAGAACAGCTGATGGGAAGGGCCGGGCTTATCGACGGATCATTTTTTGGGCATAGCGTACACGTCAATTCTGTTTAGAGTAGATAGAGCAGTCCCAGTCCAGTCCGGAGACTCGATTATATCCAAACATCACACCTGTCTTATTCCCCCGACGGTACTGACGATCCGTCTCATCCCATGAACCGACCAGCCACCCATCACCGCATATCGCGACCACGTTTCGCCCACACAGGAGCAGTAGCAGCACGGTAGCAGTCAAGATCTCCCCCTGTCACCTTGTAGAACTTCACGGACGCGACATGCGACGTCGCAATTGGCCCGAAACGGATGTGCGTGAAAGTGGAAGAGGAAGAGAGATGATCGTCAGTGCCGTTTCCGATGCGAAACCTTTCTTCTGCACATCGTGACGGCTGTGGGTTTTCAAGGTGGCACTATGGAGGGAGGTGTGTCGTTATGATCGAGTCTTTCAGGCGACTCCTGTGACACTCTTTCCACTGTCGACGCAAGGGGATAGAAATATAGGCGGGAGTATTCATGTTCCGATGGATCTGCGTA